TAACAGACCCAACCATTGACGCTGAACTCTGGAGAACAGAGCAGGATGTTGAGGTTGCACCAGAGGTAAGCAGGTAATTAAAAATGATGTATGTTTTGGATGGAGTTAAATGACCAAAACCTCTGCCATTTTTCAGTGAGAAACTGTCCTTATCAGTGGCAGAATAACTGAAAATTATTTTTAGAGTAGAGTTTCATTATGTAAAGGGATATTTCAAATGAAAAAAACAAACAGATAAACGTACCAAACTCTGCTTTTGTTGAGAGTATGCAGGATCTTTAAGCCAGTCCTCCAAACTTTCCACTTCCTCCATTGATGTCATAGGAAACTGTACTGGGACAGGCACGTCCACGTCCTCGTCAGTGGGTGGTAGCCTGCTGATAAGATAATTCACCTTGGCAACTAATAGGTCTTGCTGGTTTTTCATATGCTCCAGTAGGCTGATAATTTGGACGAATGTAGCTGTTATGAAAAACGTTGGAAAATATAACTCAATCAACAATTTGGGCAACACACTAAAGCTGACTTTCTTTTTTTTTAAATATGTGTCTTTAATTTAGTAAAAGTCAGGTCAGTACCAAGAATAAGAACATAAAACAGTTAGGTTGTTTAATTAAAAAAGGAGAATGCTCAAATGTTTAATACAAATCCCAAAACCACGTGAGCTGTTACTTACTAGAGCAGGGGATGGTGTTTGAGTCACATCTTTCTCTTCGCCAGATCAGTGTGTGCATGGAGCTTGCAAGAAGGGGTTTCTTCAAAAAACTCTCCACTTTCATGCCCAAGGTCTGTTGTCTGAACGTCGGTCAACATTTTGCAGTCATCTCGAATCTGCTGAAGTCGTTTTTCTATATCTGCACGGATCCTCCGTCTTAAGGTGGAGTTGGAGACAGGCCCGGTCTTTCTATTCATCTAAAAGAACATTTTTCAGAAACAAAGGATAAATTGCAGCCAGTGAGGTGTGGAAAAGTAATCACCATTTGTGTTTTGTTCCCAGAGATATTTGAATCAGAGTAAATCATCCAACTTCTCGGAGTCACAACATTTATGTACACAAACAAGAGCTGAACTTATATTTTAAAAAATTACTATCATGAGATGGTGACCAACATTAACATGGTCATCACTTTTATCATGGTATGTAAAAAGCTTAGAACATACTGAAAGGTAAGGAAGTTATCAGACTTGACTTGTTATCACGCTGATGTTAAAACCGTAAGCATGCTGTCTTCGCTTCTGCCCGCTAGAACCACCGGAGTGAGAGKRGGTTCTGCTCGGTTGGAACCATGGAGACACTTTTGGACCGAGTCTGAACCGAGCCAAACTGCAAAGCTGCTGCCAGGGTGGAGATTAGTTGTCGCTCCGGTTTAAAACGTTCACGGTTCTGYGCYCCCACGGAAAACTTGTGCGTGACAACTTTGCACTTAGCTTCAACTCTGTTTTTGATGAAAATAGAAAGTACTGCTGACATCGCTCCTACTGCTTGTTACTTTGATAGCGCAGCATGTTATTGTGATCACGTGAGCGCTGCATGCTGGATCCAAGCATTGCTGGATAGAAACACTGGAGCGGAGGCAGTGAACTGCTGGAACTGACTGCTAATATCGGAGCGCTTATATCGGATATTTTTTATACAGGCCGATAAAATCCGATACTCGTTTTTTGGCTGATATCGGACCGATATCAGATATCAATATCAGATCGGGACACCCCTAGTTGGTAGATAAATAAATTACAGAACTTTTTTATGTTCATCATATTTGAAGCAGAGAGGAGCACAGAGCGGACTCTGCCTGGTGGCATTATTCGTATTAATCATCAAGTGCCAAAAAGTAATATTAATATCTTTCTGATTATTAATTGCACACGATACGATTATGCCCAACCCTAATGCACTCACACATTCACACACTGATGGTAGTAAGCTACACTGTAGCCACAGCTGCCCTGGGGCACACTGACAGAGGTGGGGCTGCCATGCACCGGCGCCTCTGGACCCTCTGACCACCATCAGTAGACAAGGTGGGTGAAGTATCTTGCCCAAGGACACAATGACTGGACGGGGGATCAAACCGGCAACCTTCCGGTTCCAGGACGACTTCTCTAATAGAAAACCTAATTTATCTAATGCTAATTATTAATTATGCTGTGTGAGCTAGCTAAACCAGGTTTGTGTTTGCTACGAAGCTTAAGTTCCGATTCGGGAAAAGACTAAAGGGCGATTACAACTAATTTTTCAACACCTTGAGCGTGTTTAATCTGCTCAAAAACTACAACACCTACCTGTAGACTCGTCAAACCTGGACCAGATTATTCTGCACTAATAGAAGAATATTTAAAACTAAGTTTGAGATTTGTGAAACATCTTAAGGTCGTTTTTCATCATCATTCATGCAACTGGACCACACTAGACCTGGTCCATCTCAAAAATTACAACACCTGGACTCTTCAAACCTGGAGTAGAATATTCTACATTAAAAGTATTTAAATATCCTGCTTTCAGTGTAGAATAATCTAGTCCAGGTTTGAAGACAAAATGTTGTGGTTTTGGAACTGGACCAGGTCTAGTGTTGTCCAGATGCAAAATGAAAAAATAAATAAAAGTGTCATTTGCCTTTTATTGAAGTTTCACAAATTCCAAACTTCTTTTTAAATATTCTGCTTTTAGTGTAGAATATTCTAGTCCAGATTTGAAGAGTCTGGGTGTTGTAGTTTTTGAGCTAGAGCAGATTAAATACACTCAAGGTAGTGAAAAATTAGTTGTAATCGCCCTTTAGTCATTTCCCGAATAGGAAGCTGGAATCCAACCTCAGCTTCGTGTGTTCGCTAGCAAAGTAAAAACAGCAAACAAACAGACAGGTAAATATTTATCCGGTCGTTTATCACATGCACAGACCGGTAGATAACAGTGTTGGCAGTTTACTTACGGTGTAAGATATCACAGTCTGCCTCTGAAAACGTCTTGCTCTGCGAATGTGGCGCGCGCAGAGTACATGTAAACATCCGCCTGGCGGGCGGGTCTTTCTTCTTCTTCTGGTGTTTATTGGCAGTCGACAAACAACTTATTGGTATATTACCGCCGCCAACTGGTAAGGAGTGTGGATCACAACTTAACTTTACTGAAAGGTTAATTAAATTAAATCCTTCCAAATAAGTTAGTACTTTGTAAAAATTGGAGTATACATGGGTAGCATTTCTGTATTCCTAGCACTTCTGATAATCTATATCTTATTTTAATCTTTTCAAGATTTCGTATAAGAATATACCTTTATTGTATTTTTTAGTGTATCGTAACATGTACAGTTTTCCTAATCAAACCAATCACAATTTCCTGTATTACCTTTCCTTAGGGTCCACACTTTGATGCTTTTGAGATCTTTTATAATGCCAAAGCTTTAGTAAGACTTTAAGAAATACACACGAGTTTGGTGGTCATTTTGGATCAGGTTGTTTCCAAAAGTGGATCAGTAGTAGACGTGCATCTAGAGTTAGTACTTTTTAAAAGTTTCATTCAAAATCTTGGTTGAGATATTTCCCAGATAAACAAAAACAAGCAAAAAACATGCACTTCTTTCATCAGCTGGTCATAAATATGAGTCATTATATGGCTAAATACCCAACTTGTACAGCAGACTGTTGATCAAAGTTAGCTGTTGTTAAACTGTGGTTAAATATGTGCCGATTCTCCTGTCTAGTTCTGCCTTTTCTTTTCTTTTCTTTTCTTTTCTTTTCTTTTCTTTTCTTTTCTTTTCTTTTCTTTTCTTTTCTTTTTTTACCTCAATACCAAGTAAGTCACATAGACTTATTATAAGAGACCCAGGTTTCAAAAAAGGAAATTTACTTCTTTTTTTGCATAAATAGGAAAAGGAGACACTGGAGTACCGTAGATGTCAGAGTTGAGCTGCTGAGAGGAATAGACGCAAGGTCATGTAGAGCATTTTTATTCACAATATTTACAGGTGGCGTCAGGAGGATTTGCCAGGGAGGACAATTTTAAGTATGATTTCCAGGGAATTAGAGATATGAGGAGTGACGGTTTAATCATACAGATTTTGGGTGGTTCCGTGGTGCTGACAGGTGGGTATGGAAATCCAGGTGAATATGACTAAACTGTGTAGGCAGGCATGAGCTGAAGTGTGCAGCATATGAACTGCCAAAATCAGATCAGATTGTCACACTTTTATGGCAAAATTGTGGCATTCTGTTTGCTTTGTTGACATTTTGGCACCTTCTTGTTTCAACTCATGTGCTGAACCTTTTACTCCCCTCCACATAAGAACTTATTGTGTGATAAGTCAGAAGTTCTCAGGAGTGGTTTTATTTAATGCTTCAACCACTCACTCAAAAAATAACCCACTCGCTTCTGAAGCCAGTTATCAGTTATCGCACTCATCACTGTGAGCTTTATGTCAAATCTGGCTGGTCATCTCTCAGAGCTTGCAGATACACTCACTGGATATCTACAAGACCCTCCTAAACCTAGTCCCGTCTTACCTCACCACCATAATACAAACAACACACCTGTGCTCTAATGATTTAGTCCTGTTAGTTCCTCCAGTCAGAACGGAACTAAGAAACAGAGCGTTCAGCTTTGCTGCCCCTTCAGCCGGGAACAATTTGCAGACAGATTTGAAACTATCAACACTGATCTCTCCCAGATCCTTCATGTCAACCTTAGTAGAAAATGTTATCAAGAAACTTGACTATTGCAGATGCCTCAAAATATTACTTCTTCAAAATTCATGTCATTGTTGATTTTCTACTGTATCTTATCAACTGATGTCTGTTTGTTTTGCCCAAACTTGTTTTAAGTCAAACAAATATTGTTAATGCCTAAATTTGAAATCTGTCTTATGTAGATGCTCTTCAAGTATCAACGTTTATTCAGTGTTTGTACATTTCTTTATTTTCCTTTTGTTCTATGTTAATCTTGATTGTCAATTATTATGTGATGTGTGCTGCTGACCTCTTGACCAGGTCACCCTTGAAAAAGAGATCTTGATCTGAACGGGCTCTACCTGGTTCAATAAAGGGGATTGATTGATTGATTGATTGATTGATTGATTGATTGATTGATTGATTGATTGATTGATTGATTGATTGATTGATTGATTGATTGATTGATTGATNGATTGATTGATTGATTGATTGATTGATTGATTGATTGATTGATTGATTGATTGATTGATTGATTGAAGCCAACTGTTGCAGGCTACCCGGAAGCAGACATTTATAAAGATGGTCAAATGGCCCAAAACTAATGGATGGAGATAAAACAGACAAAGTGCGCGGAGGAATCTGTCTGATAAAAATTGTAAACCGCGACAGATCTTTGAATAAATAACGTTGGGTGACGAGTCTCAGATTTTTTTTCCGCAYTGTAGACTCCAGCAGGAAGAAACTCCATGCAGTGATGTTTACCGTAKTGGGAGRGGTTTCCCAGGAGCTTAGAAYGGTGTGTCTCAGGGTTATGAAAGGTGCRTGCAAAAATGAACGCAGAACAACCACGTGACTGCGCATCGTCCAGTCGGCTGCTGAACGACCAAACTGAAGCTTTAAGGGTYCAAGTGTGCTTGGTAGGAGAGAAACAGACAGTGAGGAAGAGAAGAAGACTTGTGTAAGATTTCAGCTGGGGCTAATGCCCTCTGTACCCCTAGAACCACCCACAGATATCACCAATTTTGTGCCACCCAACTAATCAAGAAGCTGCAAGAGTAAAACACTGGAATCCCACAAAAACGTCTAATTATGAGAAAATAGAAATTTCTTGTAAACTGATTTCGATTAACTGGGGTGGGCTGATAGAAAACAACAAATAGTAAAAGTAGGATAGGGAAAACTTGATTCACTTCATAATACAGCCATAAATACTTAACAGCTCCTATACCCACTTTAATAAAAATGCTATTTTATTCATTACCCAAAACAGTTTATATCTGAGTTTACTTTAGTTGAGTTCTGTTATAGTGGGTCCATGTTGTGCAAGGTATCAAAAAGGCTCGTGTTGTTACATGGGTTGGGACAGACTGGACTTTCAGTATTTTCCTGTCAATGCCCCCATTATTTGTTATTTCTCCATGGAGGGGAGTGATTCCTGAAAATTAATGTGAAGCTTAAAGGAAACAAATGAGAGAGTCAGAAGCAAAACTAAAAAAGCAGATGGAAATAAAAGGTTTCATTTTTGCACATTTATGCTCAGAACAGATGAAGTTTGTGTGAAACATCAAAAGAAGAGTAAAATGTAAAGTGAAAAACTTTTTCTTTTTAAAACCAGAGTTCTGATCACCCACTCAGAGTTAAACATTGTGGAGCGATTTGCCATGAAAGTGACTCAAAAAAAAAAAAAACCAAAAGCAGAGTCTTGTTTGAATAAAGATCTTGTTTACACAGGTCCCCAGCGCCAGAACTGCAAAAAATTCAGCCAAAATCTGAAAATCAAACAAAGCTATGTCTGTGGAGATAATGTGTTTATAAGAACATGTACCAGTAAAAACTGGTTACTTTTTRTTTATGTAAACAGAGCTGTATGAGTTCATTCACGTTAAAAGACAAAATTAGATTCATCTTCACAGTATTTCAACATTTGTCCACAACATAATACCTGGTTGTAACACCGGCACATGTTAATGTTTTTATTATCTCACACTAARTACTAATGTTCCTGCTGGTAATTGACACTTTTCCTTCACCCTCATTCCTGCTCAGACGTGAGGTTTTATTTATTGTTATTTTGTCAGCTGAAACATTCAGGCTTAAAGCTATTTTTTTTTAGCTACATGACTAATGTGTTTGTGTTTCAGAAACATGCTGCACATTGAGCCCAGATCTGTTGGTCAGYAGTCCACAGTTTCCTCCCTCCCCCTGAGCAGAGAGGACTTTCTCCTGCTGAAGCCCTGAAGCTGCTCAGTGTGGTCCGAGCGTTCAGTCATGTCAGGACTGTCTGGTGTCTGTCTGCTGCTGCTGTCCTCCAGCCTCGTGTCTGGAGCTCTGATTATCTCTGATGGCCAAGCTGCAAAGGTAACTTCACATTTCATACCTGTTTTTAATCATAAAAAGTGTTTGTTGTAACACAAAGGTTTTCAATGCTCTTTTAAAATATGATTTTGTAATAAAACTTGATAATTTTTTGCAATGATCATAGTCCTTCCAACGCTTCTATTTATCAAAACCTTGCATTAAATCTTTGTTCCAGCCAGGGGAAGTTTGTGAATTATATTTTTTGCTGTCTGGTAACTTGTCACCGTATTGACCCGCAGTCCTGTGTTTGTGTTTCAGGAAACGGGGAATGATGCCAAACTGTTGCAGGTACTTTTAACTATAAAAATCAATCAGATGCTGAATGCAGTTTGTTGGTTTCACTCATTTTAACACGAAAACTTCCAGAACTTCAACATAAAACATAATTTCTCTTTTAAGAGTCAAACTATTTCAGCACAATCAAACAAAAATAATTGGAAAATGCTTCAAATTCTAATATTTTTTAATTTAAAATTGATATATTCTTGATTTTTTTTGTTTCAGAAAAGAAGCACAAATGACAACACGGTAAGAATAGTTTTTGTGATATTAAGTAAAATATTTCCTTTCTGTAACTTGGTTCAGACTTAAAACATGCATGAAATGTTTTTTTTGTTGTTGTTGTTGTTGTTATCATCAGAATTTATTTTTTGCGGATGTGTTCAAGTTAAATATCTTTAGAAAGAGATTAAAATACGAGACTCCGATGACTGAGGCGGTCATCGCTGCAGCAGCCTCATTACTTTCAGGGTGGAACATGGTGACATAATGTCTTTTAAACACTTTTTCCAAGCTTGGCACCTCTAAAAACAGAAGAAGTTTAGCTGGAAAATATAGAAAATTTCTTGGTAATTTTCTGAGATCACAAAATTTGAAGTTGGTCAGGGAGGAACCAACTGTCATCATTCAGTGTGATGATATATTTAATTAAGTTTAAAGTCTGAAAAATTATTGTCTTTTTTGAGCATGCACCCTTTTTGTTACTGTTCTTATGCCATAAATCAGTACATAAATCCAATTAAGGGCACAGAAGTTGTATTTCTGTGATGGACTTGCGACCTGTCCAGGGTGTACCCCGCCCCTCGCACTGTGACTGCTGGATATGGGCACCAGTGACCCTGAAAGGAGTAAGCGGGTACAGATAATGGATGGATGGAAGTTGTGTTTATTGCTAAACATTTAAAAAGCTCATTGTGTTTGACAAATCAGGATCACTGATATAATTTTAAATTACTATCAACAGATTTAGGACCCAGCATGCTCACAAAAATACTTTAGGACTCTGCAACATATCACACTCTTGTGCATCTCTCCGTTTCTCACAGACAAGTATTATTATTCTTCACCTTTTAAATGTGTTTATTTTTTTGTGTTGAGTCATATAATTAAAGTTTACCATTGATATAAAAAAATTTTCGTATTATGCCGGACGGCAGTAACCTTGARTTTGACACGTGCTAAGCCTCAAAAACTCAGCCGTGGGTCTTCTCACAAGATAACACCTTTTGACCACAACCACAGCTGATCTGTTTCTTCTCTTGTCTACAAAGTTCTGTGATTTAAATCCAGTCAAACAAAAGCTCAGTGGTCAATGGTTTCAGGTAAACTGTAGGACCAGACTTTGTGGCTCCACTCAGCACATTAGGWGTTAATTTGTATGAGATTAGCCTCACTTAAAGGAACGCCCAAAAATGAATTTCACACACAAGCCATAAAAACACCTCAACACAGAAGACAGAGCCGCAGAATTTGGACTGAACGTTTGAAACGACCACGGGAAAAACCTCTTGATGTGATTTCTTYTGTTAAAGAAGGAGAGAGAGGAAAAAAAGGTTTTGTTCGTATTRAAATGGATATTTCTTGTGCAAAACATTAATAACCATGTTTCACTTTTTGTTTTGTCTCAGTGGTTTACATGTGCATAAACTTTGTTATAAGTCAGAATTAGTTTTATGTTTTAGTTCAGCTAATTAGGAATGTTTTTCTTTTACACCCCATGCTTCTACTTATTTCATAACCAAAGCTTTGTTATGTCTCTTAGTCATGATTCTTCTGTTAGTAAAACAACATTTTAGTGATTTCCTCAATGTTATCTTCATACAAGTACATAMAATTAAAAATGCTGTATATATCAAAAATAAATTTGGCTTTGCATCATAGTCTATTTAAACACTTTGAAATTGGCCTCAGTCTCTTTGAGAACCTCCTACCGTTCCTGACACTCCCGCTTCAGCAGAGGTCTTTAAAGTACTTGGAAAAAAAGTAAAATCACATGAACATAAAATGACTTTGGTAAAAATAAATTTCACTGATGAGAAAACTACTCAAGAAAACATCATAAAACAGTTCACAAAATTTGGGACAGTAAAAGTAAAAGTAATTTTACACACTCTCTATGAAATAAACTGTTGAATTTACTGAACCAAATCGGCTCTATTAAGCCAGGTTGAGTAAATTGAGCAATATACATATTTTATTTGCTCAATTTACTCAGCTAGGCTTAGTGGAGCCAGCTGACATGACTTTGTTGAATAAATTCAAGACTTCATTTTTAGAGCACATAAACATTTTCTGTCCTGATGAGTTCGAACATATTTAATTTTGTAACGAGTAACTAGGTGTTACATTTGAAAGAAGTATCATTTTTAGCTTTAAAATGTAACAAAGTAAAAGTAAAAGTAGCTATTTGAAAAAGTAATTGGTAAAATTACAAATCCTCAAAAAAAAACTGCTTAAGTACCGTAATGAAGTAAATGTACTTAAACCTCTGTGCTTCCACACGTCTTCACAACAATGCTCTTTGGAGGAGGGGTGCTCTGTGGGGCCGGAGCTTGGCTGGGGACTGAGCTCCAGGGAGGAGTTTTGTGTAAATAGGCAGTACTTTGTACCAGCAAGTGTTTAGGCAGCTACCACAGGAAACTAAAGGATTTCTTCAACATGTATGAATGAGTCAAAGCAACACTTTGTGTATTTTGATGAGAGAATGACATTATATAAAGCTTAAAAACATTAATTTTGCATAATAACCCCTTTAACTTTCAGTGGTCACCCCAATWTAAGAGCTAACTGATCTTAGCCAACACAGAATTGGCTACAGCTCTGTCAGTTTTACAGATAATAGATAAAATCTGTTGTGGTAGTAGGTGAGAGTCATCTCTAAGCACTAATAGTCACACTTTATTGCACACTTTGAGAAACACAACTCTAATATGGATKTATTAATTTAAACGTGTCTCTTTGCTTGCGTCCCTGCAGGTGGAGGTGCACAGTGTGACCGTGGCGTGTACGGTTACGTCTCGCTTCGCCCACACTGTCATGACCTCAGTGGCTTTAAACAAAGCCAACTCGTCCAAAGAAATCTTTTTTGAAGTGGAGCTGCCCAAGACTGCTTTTATCACCAACTTCAGCATGTCAGTTTTTATTTACATTTTTATGATTTTATGCAGCTGATTTAGCTCTCCTAAAGTGTTGTTTTCTGTGTGCTTTTAGGGAAATAGAAGGTAAAGAGTAYGTCGGTGTGGTGAAGGAGAAAGAAAAAGCTAAGAAACAGTACGAGAAGGCTGTTTCCTCCGGGCAGACGGCTGGATTGGTCCAGTGAGTCGATCCAGATGAAAAAGAAATAAAAAACAAACAAACCCCGTCAAAGAAGCACACTGCACTGATTTTAAATTCATCGTTTCATCTACAGCAGCTGTCTGTGTTTTTTTATTTGCAGGGCTTCTGGAAGAAAAATGGAGAAGTTTTCCGTGTCCGTTAACATCGCCGCTGAAAGTAACGTGACTTTCGTTCTGACCTACGAAGAGCTCCTTCAGAGGAAACGGGGCCATTACGAGATTTTTACACGAGTCAAACCCAAAGCAGTGGTTCAGCAGTTTGAGGTCAATCCACACTCCTGATTAAACCCTGGCAGTTTCCAACATCCTGAATGAGAGTGTAACTTTACAGATGATGCCTTGTCCCTCTGTTTGTCTGTCTGGAAACAGATTCTGGCAAACATCTACGAGCCTCAGGGCCTTTCTTATGTTGACACCCAGGCTACGTTCCTCACCAATGAACTGCTTCCCCTGGTGGAGAAAACTGTCACAGACAATAAGGTACTTCGGTCTGTTCTCCTTGTTATTGATTACTGCAAAAGGACAAAAACAGATAATAATATCTTTACAAATTTTAGTAAAAAGGTTCCTTCCAAGCTGGCCAAATGCAGCCAACAGGACCTCCCCCACAAAAAGAAAATGAATGAATGAATGAATGAATGAATGATGAATGAATGAAGGAAGGAAGGAAGGAAGGAAGGAAGGA